GACAAAGTGGATTGGGGCTGCATTTTAGACTGTTTGAAGCAAAGAGGTTTGGGTAGTAAATGGATCAGGTGGATTAAAGGCTGTATTAGTCATTCCTGGTTTTCAGTTCTGATAAATGGAGAGCCCAAGGGCTACTTCAGAGCCAGCTGGGGACTCAGACAAGGTTGCCCACTCTCCCCTTTTCTCTTCGCATTGGTGATGGACATTTTCAATCATCTTTTTGACAAGGTCATTCTTCTAAATCTGGTGAAAGGTTTTGAAGTGGGGAGAGACTTGATCCACATCTCCCACTTACAGTTTGCTAACAATATCATCTCGTTTTTGGATGCATCCTTAGCACATATTTCAAACATGAAGAGGGTTATTGAATGCTTTGAACTAATTACTGGCTTGAGGGTTAATTTCAGTAAAAGTGGTAACAGCAGCCATAAATTCAATAGAAGAGGATCTCCTTGAAAACTTCAAAAATCTGTTGGGCTGTAAGTGGAGAATCTGCCTTTATCCGACTTAGGGATGCCTCTTGGAGGGAATCCAAAATCCTTAAACTTTTGGGGACCAGTAGTGGAAAATTTTGAAAAGAAGTTAGCTTCTTGGAAGAAAAACTACCTCTCAAAAGGGGGAAGACTTACTTTATTAAAGGCCTCCTTAGCAAATTTGCCAGTTTACTTTCTTTCAGTCTTCCGGGTCCGACCAAAGCAAGATATTTGATTGAAAAACTTCAAAGGAACTTCCTTTGGGAAGGAGGAGGGAAGAAAGGAAATCACTTGGTAAGTTCGGAACAAGTTTGCAAGCCAAAAAAAGGAAGAAGGATTGGGACGTGGGCGTTTGAAAGAGAAAAATACCTCTCTCTTGGGTAAATGGCTTTGGAGATCCCCCTAAAGAATCTAACACTCTCTGGGTTGCTGTCATCTCCAAAAAATATGGGTCAAACGCAAAGGGTGGGATAGCAATCTCCTTTTGAACAGAACAAAGTCAACAAACCCTGGAAAGGTATAGTCTCCACTCACACTTTTTTTTTCCTTTTATTAGATATAAAGTGGGGAATGGATCTAAAATAAAATTCTGGAAAGACCTGTGGTGGGGAGACTCTACCCTGGCTGCATCTTTTCCCAAACTCTTCAACCTTTCTTTAGACCGAGAAGCCACTGTTTCTTCCTGCCTTCCGAACCTAACTGCTGAAAACAGCTTGAACCTACACCATAGAACCCCTAAGGGACCTGGAGATTTCTGACCTGATTGCTCTTTTACAGACCCTTAAAAAAGTCTACATCTTCCCCTCCTCCTTTGACACCCAAATTTGGATCCTCCACCCAATAGGTGAATTCTCTTCTAAGTCTATGTTCAAGGCTCTAACTGCAAGTGAACAAAGCTCTTCCTTCCCCTTCAAGAAAGTCTGGTGCAGCCATATTCCTTCAAGAGTCTGTTTCTTTCTCTGGGAAGCTTGTCTTCAAAGAATAAACACCTGTGACCTCCTTCAGAAGAACTTGGGAAGACTCTTTCCCCATGCTTGCTTTTTATGCCTAAATGAAGGTGAATCAGCTGATCACATTCTTCTTCACTGTAAGTTTACTCAAAAGATTTGGTCCCATTTCTTGAATCTGAGTTCTGACCGGTTACAGTTGGGTATTCTCAAAGCATATTTTGGATTCTGTGCATCAATGGCAAGGTACAGGACTAAGCAGAAGAGGCAAAGTTTATAGCAAAACCACATGCAGTATTGTGGGGAGTTTGGGAGGAAAGAAACAAAATGCCTGTTTGACGATAAATGCAGGCCTATTGAAGAGCTGATTTCAGACATCATTTCTTGTAACCTCTGGGCTGTCAACTCGGATCTGTTCAGACTTCAGAGGTCTTTCAATCAATGACCTCAACTGAGATGCTCACACTTTTCTGTTTCTCTCACATCCTCAACAAGCAAGCCTGAGACATCCACTTGTTTCCAATGAAGGTGTGTTGACCCTAAACTTTGATGGAAGCACCTTCAGGCAAACCTAGTTTAGCTGGCATTGGAGGTTGTTTAAGGGATGAAAGGGGTAAAATACTTGCTGGACTTTGAGTAGTCCAATTGGTTTGGCTGATCTACAAAAGCTGAAGTAGTGGCAGCTCTTACAGGAATCAGAATACTGAAAAATCTAGGAATTCAGAACTTAATAATTGCAGGGAACTCAGCAAATACCATAAAATGGTTAAAGGAAAAGGAGGGGGACCTTGGAGATACTTGGCAGAGTCTATGGACTCCCTGAACTGCCTAAATGCAAGACTAACTTGGACTCCTGGGGAACTAAATCACATAGCAGATGGTTTAGCCAAATGGGGTGTATTTCTGGAAGAACTGTATAGTGATAGAATTCCTCCTCTATAAGCTTTGGGGTTCTACCCCTGCTATGTACATCTTCTCATGTACTTTTCTTGCTTTAATGAAATTTGGTTTAACTTTCCTCAAAAAAAACTTTAATTGCCTTTTAAGAAGATATTTTATTAAAATGAATGAATGAACAACATTAACAAACAGGGGGTCCGGGAGCGGAGACCCCAGCCCAGCTGCTAGGTCCAAAAGGGCAAAAAAGCGTAAAATTTTAAAAAGGTGCACGCCTGGGCTGAGGCACAAGGCATATCAGGCACACTAGCCATGCGCCTTTTGAAAGGGCTGTGCCTAGGACCTAGGCATACCCTAAACTGCAACTCACCTGTGCGCCTTGGCGCACACCCTAAACTGCAACTCACCTGTGCGCCTTGGCGCACCTAAGGCCAGCCTTGTAAATCACTAACAAAGGAGATTCAAACATAAAAAGGATTTCCTAGCATCAAATTTGAAATCAAGGACCTTGGCCCTCTAAGATACTTCCTTGGAATAGAAGTTGCTAGATCTAAGGAAGGGATTTATATATGCCAACAGAAATATGCTTTGATATACTGAAAGAAACGGGAAAGTTGGGGAGTAGACCTATTGACACTCCAATTGAATAGAAACATGGATTGCAAGAAGGTGAAGAAGATGAGTTGCTCACTGACAGAGAGGTATCAATGCCTAGTAGGTGAACTTCTGTATTTATCCCTTACTAGGTCGGGTATTACTTTTGATGTTCACATTGTGAGTCAATACATGCATGCTCCCAAAATCTCTCACATGATAACAGTAGAAAGAATTCTGAGATATCTCAAGTCATGTCCAAGAAAGGGACTGTTATTCAAGAAACATAATAAAATGGTTATAGAAAGCTTTACAGATTTTGATTGGGCAAGGCCTATTGGGGAGAGAAGATCTACAATAGGATAATGTACCCTTGTTGGTAATCTAGTTAGTTGGAGAAGCAAGAAGCAAACAGTTGTGGCGAGACCCAGTGCAGACGCAAAGTATAGGTCCATGGCCCATGGCCTAGCAGAACTTTTGTGGTTCCGGATTCTACTCAAGGAGTCAAAAAATTCAAATTGATGGCCCTTTAAGTACTACACAATCAGGTTGCCATCAAAATTGCCAATAACCTTGTCCAACATGATAAAACCAAGCACATTGAAATTGCTAGACATTTTGCTTGGGAAATGATCACTTCTTGTGATATATGCATTCCTTATTTGCCTACTGCAAAGCAACTTACTGAAGTGTTTACAAAAGGATTGCCTAAATCAAGATTTCATGAGTTGTTGGGAAAGTTAAGCATGATGTATATCTATGTTCAACTTGAGGGGGAATGTTGTAAATCTTAATGTTGCATGGGTGGGACTGTTACTTCAGTTTATATCTTTTTGGGCCCAAGTTACTCATTTCTTAAATCTACTTATGTCTAGCCCACCTAATGAAGGGCAACCTTGTAACTTCTCATGTTTTAAGTTACATTTAAATTCCATCCTGAGCTAGACAGAAGTAGATTGCCACCCCATTTTCTTATTCTCTTCTCTATTCTTCTCTCATTTTCTCCTCTTCTCTTGTTCAAAACACTTTAGTAATCTGTTTTCTAGTGGTTAAAATGTAATCTTCTTTTGTAAGGAGAGGTCGCATCTCGTGCCTCTCCTTGGGATGCTTGCAATAGTTCTCATATGCTGCAAATAAAATCATATTTCAATTATCAAAAAACAAAAACAGTTTGACTCCTAGAATTATTATGAGTTTGAAGTCTATAAATACATATGGACGTTTTACACAAAGATCAATGAAGTTTATTGAGTATTCTTAAGCTTATGCTAGTTATAGTGAGTCATTACCATACCCTTGAGTGATTCTAGGTACCCCATGAGTGATTTCGAGTATTTTCTTTCCTTTCTCTCTCCATTTCCTTTCTTATTCCTTCAAGAAACCATTACACTATTACAGCCATCAACAGCCATAAATTTCTGCTCAAGGAAGATCATTCAACACTCTCATAGGACTGGAATTGCTGGTCCTACATCATCTAGTCTGCCTCGACCTACTAGAGATTCTGTAGCAAAGCTAGCAGGTCAGTCACTTGCTGGGTCCACCAATCATTAAAGTTCCTTCTAAAAGAAGGAACCCAAGAAAAGGATACACCATCAACATGGTAAGAGTCTGCTATCAATGAGAGGTCAAAACACAAAAGGCCAACAAGTACAAAAACAAGCCATATCAGAAGGGATTGACTCATCATTTGATGAATTTCACATAGGAATCTTTTATGGAAGAGAATATTTACTACCAATAAAAGAAACAAATTTCTTCCAAGGACAACCACAACTATTAAAACCATAGAAAATTAATTATTAAAGGCCAAATAGCGCAAGGAAATTTTATAGAATGGAAGATAGCAATTGTATGACCAGGTAGATATGCTTTTTATTATAAAGAAATAATATATAGAAATCAAATCCATTGGTCATTCACTGCCATCCCAATGGCCACATGATACTCTGTGATCTATAAAGTAACCTCATTATCATTGACTGCAGGTTCAGAATAAAGAAGTACTGATAGTTATCAAAATTGAATTAACCAATATGAAATGTTTGTCTGGAATCCAATGTCAGTGGGGAAGAAGATAATGACATACCTGCAATTATAAACAATATCCCTGTTATCCATAAGTTACCAAACATCCACAAAGTTAAAATGGCAATCAGCCCAACAATAAAAAGTCCAGGTGTATAACCCAGGCATCGGACAGCAATTCCAGCAGCAACCTGCAATAATAAATCCATCTCTAAGTCGCATGGATCTTAAGTCACATTACAAATCAAACCTAGTAAGCACAATCTGAAAAGGATAATAGCAGGTAGCTTAAAAATAAAGAAATTAAAAACAAAAGGAAACAAAGAAGTTTTACCAAGTGTTCTTCAGGTGATTACTTTTTTAACTGCTCACACCACTAAGCAAAATGCTTAACCTCCATGCATAAGGGTCCTGGGCTTCGAGCAATGCTTTGACTAAAATGTTACATAGTAATTTGACAAAGAAATTCTTAAGGGCAGAATTCAATCTGAAAGAGTTCAAAGCAATTGCACAAAGGTCAAGGTTTATTACTTAGGAGACTTTGAAAGAGTTCAAAGCTTTGTATTTAAAATGTCATCTGTTATTACTTAGGAGGTAGTTTGATATTTCTTTTTTCTCTTTTCCTCCTTTTAATTCAACTTGGGAACAGCCTGAGATACCATCTAATGTCAGATGGGGGTAATGCCAATTAATGCCTTTTCTATTCCTTTTTATTTTTTGATCAAATGTCAGTTGATTCCTTTTACATGTTATCTACGTTTATTGGGCTTTTATATGTCAATCAACAAAATAGAGAAGCCTATTTTTATCAATATGGATTGTCGCATAAACTTTTTTATTGGAAACGGTGGCTCATTAAAAATAGTAATTAATCATCATTTGTCAACCACTCAGAAAATTAGTGTTGACCTCAATGAAATTAGAAAGATACAATACAGGCCAAAAAACAGTTCTCCCTGAAGGCCCCCTGTTTTGCCAAACCATCAGCCACAGAGTTGGCTGATTTCCTTACCCATTTGAAGATTACCCCAGCCTCCCTTGCTAAGCACAGTATTCCCCTTATCTGTTGTCTGAAAGTACATACACCCAGACTTTTTGTCTGCAGCCATCCTATTAACAGTTTAGAATCTCCCTCCACCTCAAAGTTCTGAAATCTCCATTGCTTTGCCAATCTCAAGCCTTGTAGTAGAGCCATAATTTCAGCTCTCAGAGAGTCTCCCACACCTATGGGACCAGAATATAGTGCCATCAATCTGCTCTCAGATTGTCACATAAACTTTCTCTTCACAAAATTTCCAGCTCCAAATTATCCCCATCAAACCACGATGCACACTTCCCGGGAATGATTCAGTCAAGAAAATCAACTAGTGAAATGCTATATAGAATGGTGGCACATAACATATCTTCTCAATTTCATAAAATGCAAATGATTCACCCAAGATATTTCCAGATGATGGCAGCATTTACGCCAGCAAAGGGTTGGAGAAAGGTCTTGAAGATTGAGGCTAAAACTTTCGTACTGGAGGAGGTCTAGATAAGAAAATGGCAGCATTGAAGATTGTAGAGTTGAGGAAAGTGTCTCTGATACTCGCGGGTAAGGCAGTTTCATGGTTTCAAGAAGCGTTGGAAGGAGCAAAAGGATTAGAACCAGAAAAAGAATGGAAACATTGTCATATTGAAGAAGGTAGGAAATGTAGCAGAGAGGAGAGGAACAAGTGGTTCATTGGGGTTTATGAGTATTATAGAGAAGGACTAAGACAGTTCACCAGTTTTCCGGAAGGAAGGAAAGCCTCTGCTTGGTTGCAACTAGCAGGAGCACAGGAATACTCGTAATGTAAGTTAACATTGCTTAAAAAACCGAGGAACCTGTGAAGAGGACAATTGAAGATGAAGTTGAATTTTAAGAAGGCCATTGAAAACTCAAAGATACAAGCGGCTAGTGAAGAAGATGTGCAGTATACTCTCAGAGTAATGCAGCCGAAGCTTGGATTCATGGTCCAGAAGAATTATGGTGAGGTAGATTTGTACTATCTGTGAAAGAAAAATTAATGACTGGAACAGGTTGATGGAAGATATCAAAGGGGTATTAAAAACTTCAGGAGAACTGGAGATTGTTGCTTTTGAGGATAACAAGGCATTGCCCATCCTCTCACATTACCCGGTGGAAGACAGAGCTAGGCTTGATCACAATACACCAATGGGCCTTCACTAGTAATGAAAATTTGGTAGAGTGTACAAAGGGTGTTGACCTGAGAGTTTTGGAACTTCCATTCCATCTCTGGTCAGAGAATGTCTTTAGCAAGATTTCAAAGTTCTGTGGGCGAGAAATGGTTTTGTCAGTGTACAAAGGGTGTTGTTGACCTGAGAGGTTTGGGACTTCCATTCCATCTCTGGTCAGAGAATGTCTTTAGCAAGATTTCAAAGCTCTGTGGACGAGAAATGGTTTCGTTTGATGCCAACGATCTTTGAGCAGTTAGACTAAAGCTGGTGGGGGCAAAGCCAGAACTGATACCAAGAATGATAGAAGTTTTCTCTGATGGGATTGCCTTCAAAGTGTGGATTGCCTCCTCCATTGAAGCTCGATGGTGGAAGGAAGGAGTTGCCGGCAGGGAAGCTGACTCTGTGAAGAAAGACAGAAGTGCACATGGCAGGCCTCGAGATTACAAGCAGACTAGTAATTTGGGTAACACGAAAAAGGAAACGAAGAGGCCTGAAGTGAAGAAAGATGTAGCTCAGATGTCTACTTCTAAAAAGGGATTATGCCCACAGGATGTTGATCGGACAGGTGCAATTTAAAAGTTACATGCAGGCGGTTGCTTGTACATGGGATTTAAGTGCCTTCAAATTGTCCATCTTAAGGCGCCATTCTAACGGTTAGCTCTTCTACCGGGTCAACATCAGGGTTGCCTTTCTTCTCCGTAGTAAATTCTTTCTCCCTTTCCTCTTTCCTTAATCCTATTCAATCTTCCCCCTCCTTTAACTTGTCCTCTTATCTATTTCTGCTTTATTTTCCCCTTCTACCCCTCCATAGGCATGACTACTTCCCCCAGTACTCCCAAATTGCTGCTTCTTGTTATGCTCTTGCACTATCCCCTCATCTCCCTCAAACCCTCCCCCTAGTCTCTTATTATCCAAATCTTCCAAATTGGGGGCCAAGTCAAAGTCATGGCTGGGTGTCGGAGCGACTACCAAAGAAACAAAACCAATGTTAGTACCAAAAACCAAATTGACAGGGTTATCAAGGTTACCGGTTTTGGTCCAGCAAACAAGCAATGAAAGCAGAGGTTCCCCACCCTCGCCCTTTCCCTCTTCCAGATTACCATACCCTTCCCTCAAGAGAAGAATCTGGGCATTTTGAGAGGTAATCTAGGTTGCATTATCTTGTGTCGAGCTTGGCCTTGCTGCCCCAACCTGAGCTTCAGTGGAAACTATATGGTACAACTGAGTTTCCAGCAATTGGGCACCCTGTACTTGTCATTGATCTATGAATGATCCTTATCTTGGTTCAAGCTTTGGAATTCAAATTTTCTCCTCACAGAGCACACCTCAGACCAACCTCACAGCACGTTGCAGTTGTGCATTGGGAGATGATGTTTCAGATATGTGGCTCCAAGTGTTTGTGAGGTTGGTGTGAGGAGCACTTTGTGAGAAGCAAATCCAAACTCCAAGCTTTGCCTCTGCTTCATTTGACTTCTACTATTTTCACCCTTGTCTGTTTCAAGTTGAATCTCATTTTTTCTCTCTACACCCGCCATCAAGTCTACCTGTWGATCACTCACCCCTTGCACTCTCTACTTCACGCTCCCATGAACACGGTACTTCCTCCTGTGACTCCTGTGAACAATTAACTCTTGCTCCATTGAGAGAAAGAGAAGTTAAATGGTAGTGGCCCTCCTGTTCCAAAAAAAAATAAAAAAAACTTGGACCACTCCATCAACACTGCCTATAATTGATTCATCATTGAGGAGCCTTCTTCAATATTCTCGCAATTGATCCAGTCCCCATCACCTTCCACATCTTTGCAATCTTCCTTATGCCTAGAATATCTAGGACTGGGTTTGTCTTGTTGAGTGGGTTAATGTTTCATCCATTGCCAAGATTCAGCTTTCAATCCATGCTCCTTATTCACCATCGAGGGGGGTAATGATAGACCTTTCTTATCGTCCCCCACAAACCCCTTTGCCCCTTCCCACCTCTACCAGAGACCATTGAGAGGTCACATGGTGCAGTCACCTAGTTCGGTTGAGCCAAGTGGTCTGGCCTCAATTAAGTTACATGCACATTTCGCTTGGATTTTACTGATTCAATTGCATTAGCCAGTTGGACCCACGAGTCTGACCTTATGGGACCTTTTCTCTCACCTGTGTAGATTCCTTTCTTAAGAGCTTCCATGTAGAAAGATTTTAAACCAGCCTCCTCTGATCGATTATATTCAAAACAATTTGAAAATGATTCCTTATATAGAAAGTTGGAGCCTACAAATCCTCCTCTTGATGTTTCGCCTTCCTCATTCAGTTTCAGTCTATCCCTATTTAGTTCCAATCCAACCTCCCTTCTTCCATATGGCTCCCACCCAGCCACATCATCTCCATCCCCCATCTTCCTCCCTTCTTCCCACATCAATGCTTCCTCTCCCAATGTGATCCAGAACCTCCACCACCTACCACTGTTAAACACCTCAGCAGATCAGGGCACCATTTCCAGCTTAGCTCCTACCAGTTTAAGCCACACCGCACAAGGTCTGATATAAGGCTACCAAGACACCAACACAGATTACTACAATTTGGTTAAAGGCCTACTCTGTCCAGAGGTTGAAGGGAAGTCCAAACACTTTGATTCGAAGAGAACCTTCTTCAATCTGTTTTTCGTTGCAGGTCTGACTCCAATTCTCTGTTACCGCTCATCCATACCTTGTTTTAACACTATGGATTTCCTCTTGAAGATCACCCATATCAATGATAGCTGCATTGCCCTAAAATGGTGCCAGGACTGCCTCCTCTTTGCTAGGAAAAGCCCTCATAATATCTTCCAAAAACCCTTTCCAATCTTCCATTTTCCTGGTCGCTCTCACCACCTTACTTTTTTGCCACACAATCTCATTACCTTCCAACAGAAGCTTCAACAGCAGAGAGAATCCGCATAAGCCTCTCATCGCTTGCGCTTTCTCGTCCATTACTTGTGTTTCCTCTTC